TATTCAATATGGAGCCCCCTCTCCAAGTATTCTAATTTAAAGTCTCCTTCTTGTAATTGAAAAGTTTTACAAAATTTAGAGATTCATATGGGATTTCTGTGCTCATAAAGAGAGAAACTAGCTTGGGACAAAATGTGCACACAGTCCGATTTTGGATTTTAATAAAGTCTTAAGCTAAGCTTAAATCTCTCTTTGTGACGGTACAAAATAAAACCCAAGACTGATTATTTCCTCAGAAAGATGGCGAATTTGACCCAGGGAAGAAATGCAGGCTGGTTCTAGCAACAAGATTGGTATTTTTCCATAATAAAGTGATTTTTGAAATGTTAATGAAGCCTGTTCCAAAGTTAATCTTAAAGCCTCAAAGAAATTCAATAAAATTGTCTCTGTTACAAAAATTTGCCAAAGTAAATGCCTAAAATAATAATTGGATTTGAATCTCGAGAATTATTAAAATATGTTAATTATAAAAATCTAACTAGCCCGGTAAAAAACTGGCCCTCTGTTAATTAAAAAAGCCAGCAACGCCTTTCTAATGGAGAAAGGGGCTGCTTCCCACCTCCAGCAAATTCTTAAAGAAAGAATGTGGTCAATTTACATCTGAAAGGATCAGGTAGGCCTGAACCTGCTTTGCAAGTCTCAAATATGGTTTTCCAGAGCCTCTTGAAACTGAAAACTAAAGTTTACTAAATCAAATTATAAAAATATTTTAAAAATCTAAATTTGCCTCATGAAAAATCTAGAGGACAGAATTAAATCTATTGATTGTGTCTTGCATTTTTAAAGTTTATTCTTAAAATTTTTAAAGTGTTATTAATCTAAAGAAATGCTAAATATTTAACTTGCCAGCTGAGAGTTTAAAGTTTTAGTTAAATTAAATTGGGAGAAATTATAGTTGTGGTAGTAACTAAATGCCTAAAGTAGAGAAATTTATTTTTAATAAAATCTGGTGTTTTCTCTGAAAAAATTAGGAATTCAAAATATATTGCTGCCATAACTGGTTTGGTTCAGTGGATAGAGTGTTGGCCTGCGGACTGAAAGGTCCCAGGTTCGATTCCGGTCAAGAGCATGTACCTTGGTTGTGGGCACATCCCCAGTAGGAGGTGTGCAAGAGGCAGCTGATCGATGTTTCTCTCTCATCGATGTTTCTAACTCTCTCACTCTCCCTTCCTCTCTGTAAAAAATCAATAAAATATATTTTTTTAAAAAAACAAACAAACAAAAAAACAAAATATATTGCTGACTGGTCTAATTGAAAAAGAGGATAAATTCTGTGATGTGTGGATGAAAGGGGCCACATGCTGACCTGACAAGCTCAGGGAAGGCCTGCATGGCAGTCTTGCAAACTCAGAGACCTAAAGT